TAATAAACATTTGTCAATGAATTCAATGAAGACAGTTTGTTTACTAAACTAGTTTCTTTCTTTCTTTCTTTCTTTCTTTCTTTCTTTCTTTCTTTCTTTCTTTCTTTCTCTCTCTCTCTCTCTCTTTCTCTCTCTCTTTCTCTCTCTCTTTCTTTCTTTCTTCTTTCTCTTTCTTTCTTTCTTTCTTTCTTTCTTTCTTTCTTTCTTTCTTTCTTTCTTTCTTTCTTTCTTTTCCTCACACGAGGACATTTTTGCATTTAGTTTCAAACAGAGTGGGAGGGAGAGAGGAAGGAAGAGAGGAACATTAATGTGAAAGAGACACATTGAGTGGTTGCCATCCACATGACCCCAACTGGGGCCAGGTATAAACTGCAACCAAGGTATGTGCCCTTAGCAGGAACTGAATCTGGGACTGTCCAGTCCACGGATCGATGCTCTAACCGCTGAGCCAAACTGGCCAGGGCACTAATACTAATTCTTTTTATTTGAAGGCTATTATTAAATCACCAGTTGCCACATGGTGAGGCTATTATCCTCAGCCCCCCTTTGGTAGATTGAGCTTTTATTCATCACTTACACCTTCAACTGCTTACTGACTTACCCATTTTGATTTTTCTTTTGTCACCTCCAACTTAACACGTCAAAAAGGGAAATCATCATTTTTACCAGTAAACCACTTTTTTCTAGCCATACCTTTTCTCTTGATGGCACCATTATTTTTCTAGTTCCAGGCTAAAAACTTTGATGTTTTGTTTTTTTTAACCCCATCATTCATCCAATATATCAACAAATCATTTATACTTCCTTTGTGATGCTTTTGGTCTTAATTTATTTATTCCTTTCCATTCCAATGACCAAGACCCTAGGTTAGACCATACATGGATAAAATAGCCTACTGGATCTTATTACCAGTTTTTCCTGTTTTTCCCCCCATGAATGACTATGAATACATTTCAATCAGTATTATTCAAACGTCAGTACGAAGTTCAGACTCTATATAGGCAGTGGTTCTCAACCTTCCTAATGCCGCAACCCTTGAATACGGTTCCTCGTGTTGTACGTGGGCGTATCTGCATGTGGGCAGACCTCCTGGAGAGGGATAGAGGAGCAGTGTCTTGGTTCCTAAGACCATCGGAAATATGTGTTTTCTGATGGTCTTAGGCGACCCCTGTGAAAAGGTCATTCGACCCCCAAAAGGGTCACGACCCACAGGTTGAGAATGCTGCTATATAGGGGTTGCCATGGCTCCTCAGTGATATGCTATTTGACTACCACTATAACTCAAATCTTGTACACTTCAATCTTATGGAAAAGCAATTTCCCAATCTAGTCATTCTCTCTCTAACTTTTAGATCTTTTTAAAAATTGTGGTAAAATATACATAACATAAAATTTAACATTTTGATGAAAAAATTTGGTAAATTTTTAAAATGTTTCTTTATTGACTTTAGAGAGAGAGGAAGGCGGAGGGAGAGAGATAGAGACATCAGTGAGAGAGAACATTGATTGGGAGTCTCCTGTATGCTCCCCACAGGGGATCAGGCCCACAACCTGGGCATGTGCCCTGACCAGGAATCAAACTGCTGACCTCTTGGTGCATGGGTCAGTGCTCAACCACTGAGCCATCCAAGCCAGGCAAAACTTGGTAAATTTTGGTAAAAGTTTACAGTTTAGTGACATCAAGTACATGCACATTGTTGTGCACCATAACCGCTGTTCATCGTCAGAACTTTCTAATCTTCCCAAATTGAAACTCTGTACCCATTAAACAATAGCTCTCCATTACCCTCTCTTCCAACCTCTGTCAAACACTATTCTACTCTTTCTTTGAATTTGACTACTTTAGGTACTTTACATAAGTGGAATTATATAATATTTGACATTTTCTGTCTGGACCTTTTGTCTTCAAGGTTTATCCATGTTGTAGCATGTGTCAAAATTTCCTTCACTTTTAAGGCCAAATAACATTTAATTGTATGTATATACCACATTTTGTTTATTCATTACCTGTCAAGGGATATTTGGATTGTAGTTTCCTCTCTTCTAACGTGTCCTACTAATTGCAAAAAGATTAATCTTCCTGTTTACATCAGTCATGTTACTTCAGATGTTACTTGATGGCTCAGAAGTTTTCAATGAATTCCTTCTTACAGATGGGATTAGGTGCAGCATTACCCATGAAAGTTCCTAATACCCATGGCTATCCCTTATCTAGATCCCGACCTAAGTATAGAATAGCACTGTCCATTATTAATCCTCAACATTTATTCATGAAACAAATATTTTTGAATGTTTGGTATGTGTTGGGGCTCTGAGATGAGTGCTACAGATGCAGCAATAAACCAAACAGACCTGAACCCTTACCCCATAGAACTGATTTTGGAGTTAAGTTATTCCTTTGTTCAAGTTAGAATGCTCTCCTTTTTCACCTTGGGACCTGGCTGCTTCACCCAACATGAAATTGCTAAAATCATTTGGTGAATGAATGACCAACTTACCAAAAGCTAATTCTCCAGTAATCATTTGATCAAATGTTGAATTTGCTGAAAAACAGTTTAAAAAAATATTTAATTTGCCTTTGTGTCATTGCAGTGCTTTTCCTGTTTAATATCAACCTTGCCTATATTTTACATTCTAGACCCTGTGCACATCTTAGAATGTTTAACACTTTTTGTAGAATGATCAAGCATTTTTAAGCACTAATTTTTGTCTTAATTACTTTGTCCCTGTCCTTGTTCCTTCTGCTTCTTTCCCTACCTCTGCCCCTTCATTGGCCTGGTGCAATAACTATGACAAATTGCCCTGTCTAAAGTATTTTTCAGATGATTGCTCAGTGAATTTGTCATTCATTGGATTAGTCATTAGGGAGCTGATTAGTTGGCAAACTAGCTTTCAAAATTTTTTAAAATGACTTCTCTCCCTTGTAGTAAATCAAAGGAAAGCATTTTCTTTTATTTTTCAGATCTATCCTCTCTGTTTGAAGCATAATATCTTTTAATAGCTCCGTTGATTTGTTTTTAGCAGTAGCTTTTGAGATCAGAACCAGTAGTTGGTTGGTTAATCATAAAGAGTTGGCTAACATGGGGAATCATAGAAAAGGATACAGACACATTTTTTTTAAATCCTCACCCGATTATATTTTTACATTTATTTTCAGATAGAGCAGGAGGGGGAGAGAGAGAGAGAGAGAGAGAGAGAGACATTGATGTAAGACACAATTGGTTGCCACCTCACGATCTCAACCAGGGCCGGGGATGAATTGCAACCAAGGTACATGTCCTTGGCTGGAAATGAACCCAGGACTCTTTGGTCCATGGGCTGATGCTCTAACCGCTGAGCCAAACCAGCCAGGGCCAGACACATCTTTAAAAATAAGGCATATCAATGTACATTTTATTAGCCAATCTTTTAATGTAGGGTCAAGACATTTTCTTTGAAAATGGGCCAACTGATTATTCATATTATCTCTCTTACATAAACCATACTCATAATGAATCACCTCTGATTTTCAGTTTGTTTCTTTAAAAAGGAGCAAGATTTTAAAGACACTTGACATATAATGAGTATGAAGTCCTTATGTATTTTTATTATTCTTCCCTGTCATTAACAGTTGTCCCGTTCAATTTAAGAACTGCTATAATTAGATGACAAACTATAGGTTAGAGTTAGGTAATCAGCAGTTCTGTGTTTCTCAGTGTTCATATCATTACAATTTTTTCTTCCTTCTCAGACTCAAGTTAATGGAATAATAATAATATAAGTTATTCTGTGCTGTGCTTTATGGTTTTAGTGTGCTTTATTGTTTTTTTTAATGATATAAATAACCAGACTGCTTGAGAGGGGATGTTTTTGGAACAAAACATTAACTGATGTGAGAGAGGCTTCATTTTTTGCTTTCTTCTTTCCCTGCATGCAGTCCTTGTCTGGGTACTTCTTTTTTTCTGATTTTAGAGAGAGAGGAAGGAAGAGGGAAAGAGATGGAAACATTGATGAGAGAGAACATTGATTGGCTGCCTCCTGCATGCCCTCCTTTGGGCATTGGGCCCACATCCTGGGAATGTGCCCTGACTAGGAATCGAACTGGTGACCTCTTGGTGCATGGGTCGACACTCAACCACTGAGCCACATCGGCTGGGCTGGGTACTTTTTTATTATCTACTCTCAGTTTTGCCTCATGCAGATATAGGTACAATAGGACATTAGCTTTTTGGTGTTATTTTTTTCCCTTTCAATAGATATAATTTTTTTTTATCCTCACCGAGGACATTTTTCCAGTTTTCATTCAGATAGAGTGGGAGGGAGAGAGAGGAAGAGAGAAAGAGATAGAAACATCGACGTGAAAGGGACACATAGAATGGTTGCCACCCACACGACCCAACCAGGGCCAGGGGCAAACTGCAACTGAGGTACATGCCCTTAGTGGGAACCGAACCCGGGTCTCTCTGGACCACAGGCTGATGCTCTAACCACTGAGCAATCAGCCAGGGCAATAGATATGATTTTTGACAAAAAAGAAAGGTAGACCAATAAACAATGTCAAGGAGAGCGAGGACCCTAGTCTTGGTCTTGAGGACAGCTCTCAGAAAATAGTGGCTGGATTTTCTTGTTTATGATCTTGTCTTCTAACTGTCCAAATCTGCATTGTCACAAATGGGCATGTTTTTGCTAGATCAAGGAAAATATGAATTCTGTGGCTTTGGAACATGTTCTTCCTCACTTGCTTAATCACAGGCAGAGTAAGGTCTTTTTGGGAAGTGGAAACTGGACTATACGCATCTTTCTTCCATCAAAAGATGAAATGGGTCCTCAGGCAGCCTCACTGCATATAACCCTTGCTTTATGTTAACTCATATTGAAATCTTATAGACTCTGTCCTTGATCTCGGAACTTGAAAATCTCTTGTAATACAATAAATTACCCTCATTGGCTTCCCTTTTATTTTTAGCTCTAGTGAATAATCCAAGTGTTCTTAAATTTCTGTTCTAAAAATGTCACTCCAGGGATCTGCACTGAAAATGAAGTGCTATTTAACCACTGAACACTGTGTGAACCCAGTTCCTGCTTTCCTGCTTTGATTTTGGAAGCTGACCATATCTGAGGCAATTCTCCTGGTCTACAGCTGTAGCTGAATTCTCCTCTTCTTTTCATTGCCTCCAGGGCCAGGAGCCTCAGACTGCATGAAGGCAGGGTAAGTGTGACCCACCATGAGGAAAAGCAGATGCATACTCACCCAATGAAGCAGTGGTGTAAGGTCAAACTCACCACTTTGATATGTCTTCTTTCCCATTGAGTTGTTTTCTTCTCCATAAAATAGAATTCTATCAAATATGTGTTTAACATAAATAAATACAATTATAATTAAATGATTTTTCTCTCTACTCTAACCAGTGAGTGTTTGCCTGGGGGCACACAGGAAGTGATAGAAAAGAACCTGCTGTTTTCCCTGGTTGTCTTAGTTTCCATGTACTGCTCATGGTGTGAGCTTTTCAATGTTCTGAGTATGATTGTAACATTGGCTGGTACAATATATTGTTGTTACCACATAGTGTCTAAACAGAAGTTAGGTCTGTGGTCTTAACAAAAGCCATAGTCATCTGTTTCAACTTTGGAGGAAAATCTAGAAGTGTTAGACTGAACTGAGAGATTGTGTTGACAACATGGTGCATTCCTTAGGGAGTGTCAAGGGTAATTTTGATAATATATAATTTTAGCCCTAAGTGGTAACTTTACAATTTGTCACTTAAGCTATTGTACCACAGTTGGGTCAGATTTCTCTTTATGGTGACTTTTGTGACAGATTATTCACAGACTGGTGACATTTTGCATTCCTTTTTTAATCTTTTAAAATTTTTAATGTTTTGTAGCCTGTTTAAGTTTTGAGAATACAGTTTGAGCTGGTATTTGTTGTCTTCTTTACAATTGCTACATGAGGTCTATGTAACCTTTCTAATGATTTGAGACACAACAGAAGAAACTTAGAGGCATGCCTGGAGCCAAAATGTTGGACACAACCCAGTTTACTTTTTTAGAGGTGATTGATGGATGCTATATGCCACAAGATATGAAGAATCACAAAACCAAACTAAGATTTCTGAAGGTAAACACCAAAAAACACCAAAGCTCAATCTTTTCATCATTCCTGATAATGAGTCCATTGTTTACTGTGGATTGTGAGTTGTCACAGAAATAAGAAAGGTCTGCACTGTCTGGAGACTGGGCAAGATGTTGAAATCTGAAGATGAAATGAAATGAAACTCACATAGAGCCAAGCCTCCCTATAGCTATAATCTTTACTAACTGCAACATTCAACATCAGTCTAACTAGAGAAATCTTGAAGAATAATGTAACTATTTATTCCAGATTTATTTTTAAGGGATTACAGTGTAAGAGTTTTACATAGCGAAATCATACAGAAAGCTTTCTTTTTTTTTTTTTTTCGTCCTCACCCGAGGACATTTTTTTTTTTTTTTTATATTTTGTTCAGATAGAGTGGGAGGGAGAGAGAGAGAGAGAGAGAGAGACATTGATGTGAAAGGGACACATTGAGTGGTTGCCACCCACACGACCCAATCAGGGCCAAGGACAAACTGCAACCAAGGTACATGCCCTTAGCGGGAACCGAACCTGGGTCTCTCCGGACCGCAGGCCGACGTTCTAACCACTGAACCAAACTGTCCAGGGCCAGAAAGCTTTCTAAAAATTCCCTTTATATCTCTTTCCTTCTCACCAGCTCTCCACTCGGGACAATTATGAAACTCTCTCTCTCGTGCTGCCTGGAGTGCACTTCTGGGCGGCCGTCCCATCCTGTGCCTGGCAATCACACTGACTTTCTCTGGGGTATGTAGTCCTCTGGAACGTGTACTATCTAGCTCTGGAGGTGTTTGTTTGTTTGTTTGTTTTGTTTGGTGAGCATAAGCTACCCTTGCCCAGAATTCTGGAGATTATAATTTTCATATCAGTATGAAAGTTTTGATCTTATTTAGTTTTTGATCTTGGGTTGAAACATATTGCTTGCTCTTACGTGAATATGATGTGTTGAGTCAAGTCAAGTCATGTAAGACCCTGCAAGCCAGACCAATCTACCTTCACTCTTTCATTAAATCAGTGAGATCACTATGAGGTGAGGCATACAGTTACAGTTACAGTATATACTGGAAGTGGTCCCAAAGAATACTGCTCACTTACCTCTTGGTCTCTTTTTAGAAATGATGTTTAAGAGAGCCTACCCCCAAAGGGCCATATGAATGTGGTGGATTTAGATGTAAATCACCCTGACTGAATGTGGCAGCTCTGAATATGGTGGTGGTGGTGGTGGTGTGCTGTGGCTAGTTCCTTTGTCAGTCCAGGTGTGACTTCTACCTCAAATCATTGTTTGAGTTTCTGTCAGAGCAGGACATATGGCTGGGGGTCTGGGAAAGAGGAAACTAAGGTTGTTTAGTATATCTTTATCCTTCACACAACCATGCTATTAAATTTATGGAAACATCTATATTGGTCAGGGTTCTCCAAAGAAACAAAACCAATAAGATGTATGTGTGTGTGTGTGTGTGTGTGTGTGCACGCGCGCATGCGAGCACATGCGTGTATTTGTATGGAATACGTGCATGGAATTGGCTCATATACATTTGTGTAGATGGAATTGGCTGATGTGATTGTGGAGGCGGACAAGTCCCAAGATCTTCAGAGTAAGTTGGCAAACTGGAAACTCAGGAGAGCCAATAGTGTAGTTCTAGTCTGAAGGCTGGAGGCTTGAGACCCAGTAAAAACTAGTATTTTAGTTCAAGTTTGGAAGGAGGGAAAAAACTGATCTCCTAGCTTAAAGGCAGTCAGGCAGAAGGAACTCTATCTTACTCAGCCCTTTTGTTCTGTTTTGACCTTCCACTGATTGGATGGGGCCCACACACAGTAGCAAAGGCAGTCTGCTTTACCTAGTCTATCAGACAAATATTAATAGAAACACCTTTACAGACATACTCAGAATAATCTTTGATCAAATATCCGGGCACCTTCTGGCCAAGTCAAGTTGACACATAAATTTATTCATTACAGTATTCATGAAGAATGTAGGGACATATAATTTACAATTCAATTTATATTCACATATATGGGTATTACTTGTTGGATATGATCATAGTTTTTGAGTTCAGTGAAAGGAAAGGCACGAGAATATTATAATAAACTTATTTTATTTTGTTTTTTTCTCAAAGAATTACATTAATCTATAGATCTTCTTTCCTCCACTGGATCTTTGGTACAATAACTGCCTCAAAAGAAAGACTCAAGAGAAAGATTGGCTTTATATTATCATACTTGGTATCAGGAAATGATGTGGTAGATCTTTCTCTGTTCTATTAAAAAGTGTCCTTTTATTTTTTTTTCTCAATAGTAGGTGCTTATATCCACTCCATAAAGTCTCTAAATGGTTTATCCACTTCAAAAGAAACAGGCCAGAATTTCTGCTTGAATGATAGGTTAAGAGAGTCTGTGTGTTTTTTTCTTCCCCCATTAGGTTTATCTAACTTGGATTGTCTCAGAAAAGTCTTCTTGAGCTGACTCACCTCAACATGATGCCCTTTTGGTTTTGCATTATCAGCTTTTTTTCATCTGAGAAGTTGACTGAGAGAGAAGTCTGTCAACAGATTACAGCTTGATCCAATTGATGGAGCTATTTAAGCCACAGCACAGGGAAATCCTTATTGGGTAAGAATGGGCCTTCTGGGTGTGGGCTTCCTTTCAGAGGGGTGGAGATGTAGCTCCTAATTTTCTTAATCCAATTTCCTGGAGGTAAAATATGGTGTAGTGGTATTCTTTCTGTGATAAACCTTCGGAGAGATCTTTGATCCATAGCTGTCCCAAAAGAAAGATTCATGAGAAAGTCTATGGCCATTCTTATTGCTGTCCTTTGTGCCTTCAAATCAGACCTCCTACTTGGTCACCTCTCTTCCATCCATGTCCCTTCCTCAGTGTGGTTTGTGCCTGGTCCAAGTGTGCCCTAGTTGTTCCAGACCCTCTCCTGGACTGTTCTTTGCTTCCATCCAACCAACATCTCAAACTTGGCCTTTGTCTTTTCGTTCCAGCCTGTGCTTACCCCTTTGGGTTGTTGACATTTTTCAGCTTCTTCACTCCCTGACTCTTCTCTAACTCCTCTAATTTCTAGATTCTTGAAATAAACGTCTTCTAATCCTATTCTGGGTTCTGGGGACTTATCCTGTGCTAACTTACCCAGGCCATGGTATGAGGGGTAAAGGAGGAGGAATCTGACAAATACCCTATAAGATCCAATTTTTAAAAATTCTTGCATTTACCACAGCCAATTTTAGAAGTAACAAGTTCACTTTATAGTGACTTGGATTAAATTTCTATATCAAATAAATATATAAAAATAAATATACATATATAAAATAATTTTATTCCTAGGTTATTTTTCTTCCTGACTTGTAATAGCTCAGATCAGAATATTGCTCCTCTAAGACATTCATAGTAAATCACTAAGGGAAATACAAAATCTGCCACTCATAAACAGTCTCTAACATGGATGGGGTAGAGGACCAAACCAAAGAGAGAAAAATAGGAAATATGAAAAATAAGGAACATCTGTTTTGGAATGGATATTTAAAAAATTACATATCTATCTAGTAAGCTCCCAGCATTTTAAGAAGTAAACAGGAGTTTAATGACAAATGCATTATGTGGTTAAAACAAAGCAGACCCATATAGGTGTCACAGGGTCACTTTGCTCAGGGACTCAAGCAGAAAAAATCTATCTTCAAAAATTTATTCTAAATGATAAAACATTGTTAGAATCAAGTAAAATTTTTCTACTACAATAAAACTCTTCATCAGAAGGAATTAAGAATTAATTATCCTTATATAATTGGACTAGGTTTTTCTTATTAACAATAAAAATGATGGCTGCTTGCATTGTTTTTACCTTGGGGCTGATTGATCATAATGCACTCTAAAAACTAATTAATTTGCAGAGCTTATTTTGACAAAAGTGAATACAAAGGTAAAGTGTAGTTTGTATAGCACTGTTATCATGGCACTCTTGGGCATAATTTAAATATAAAGAAAATAGAAGAGCAAACATAACTTTCAACTGATTGCCTGTAAAGAACTTAATTGAAAACAGTTTTCTGCTTTTAAAAACTGATTTATTTTAATGTGCTTTAAAAAACAAAGGTCCTCTTGATCACTATTTTAAGTATATCATCTCAATGTGGGATTTAAGTAAAAGGTCATATCTTGTAGAAGTACTTTTGGTATGACTCAGTTCTAATTGCATACAAATTTTATCAAGAAAATGAAATTAGTTAACATTTTCAAGTCTGAGCATTTCTTTAAACTGTTTTTTCTTCTTTGTACAAATCAAGACTTTAAGGAGAAAACTTTAAGAAACACAGAAAACAATAAATTCAAAAGGCTATTGTATAAATGTTCTTTAAACAAGTTAGCACTGTATGAGAAGGGAAAAGCATTATATACATTACATACACTAGAAGAATAAACTTGTGTAATTTTGGCAATGTGGACAAAAGAATCTCAGACCTTATTTACTTGAAATTATTTGCATTTATTCAAATTTTTCAGTTAAAGGACCTGCATTTTATTTCACAAAAGCTAATTGGAACTTTAAATTTAACATTTAATTCCTGACTAGGAGTTAGTCTTTCACCTCACCTGTCCCAACCTGCCCTAGTCTTGAGTATCTGTGACTTGCCTTTTTCCTGTATCTAGTTTGATTCCTACAATTAGTTGATTGACCAAATGACAGTGACATGCCCAGTCAGGGTAGGGCAGACTTCATTTGCTTACGGGCTGTGAAACTCAGCCCCCACTAATGTTTAGTCATTTAGCTCCTTTCCCAAGGAATAAGCCCCAACCCCTTAAGTAATTAACCTTTGCTAGTCTAGGGGTTCACTAGAGGCAGGGAAGGAAGCACTCCTTCCTTTCACTTTCCTCTTAGTTCTGAATTTATAATTAAACTCCTCTAGGAGTCCAAGGGGACTGTTGCTCAGGTGGCTAAGACTTCCAGGCCTCACTTGTATTTGCAGCCCTAATAACCTCTGCCTTTGATATGAGAGATACTTCCAGAATTTTCCTGCATTTTCATCTTATACTCTGGCAAACAAATGCCAATCTTGGTTCTTCTCCATTTAAAGTAGTCCTTCCACTTTCCTGTATGAACTGGGATCAGAAATATTGACTTATGTTGCTTTCCTATTATTCTCCATTACCCTCTTGCTTGCTACCAGAATCCTGATTTTGTTCCTACATTGGCAGCAACATGTCCAGTTTGGGGCAGTGGATCCTGACTGGCTTAAGACAATTAGGATATTTTTCCCAGTCTCCCTTGTAGCTAGGGATGGTTGAGTAACCTAGTTTTGACCAGTAAGACTTAAGCAGTAGAAGTCCACTGGGAGGAAGGTATTGGGGAGGAGCAAAAGAAAACAGATCGCAGGAAAGTTTTTGTGCTCCTGGTAAAAGGGTATAGAAACTGCTGGGCTTTTTATGTTTTTCACCTTGGCTTGACTGTAAATGTATTGCCTGGAGCTGGGGCAGCCATTTTGTGACTATGAAGCACAAGCCTGTCTGCTGGTATCTGCTTCCAGTCAACTTGAGTTTCTCTCCTTCTAGTTGGACCCTGGTGGTTGGTGTCCCTTAGATGACCTGACCTACCTCATCTCTTGCTGGCACCACACATGCTCCTGAGGCCTGCTGGGATTATCACTTATTCCCAGACTGGGTGGTTTGCTCTGTGGTCCTTGTCCACAGGGTCTTTTCAATGTTGCCCTGACAACAGCCTTGGAAATCCACCAGGAATGCCTCCATGGGTCACCTGGGAATTTGTGGATCTTTTCCATGCCACATGGGAGCTGAGAAGAATTTTGGGATGCTATCTCAGAACTTCTTTCTTCTAATAATATTGTTTTCCCTCTCTTGAAACTTCTTCACATTGGTGAAGAAGTTATTCTGGGATGAGATTTCTTTAAAAAAATTTTTTTTTTCTTATTGATTCTAGAGAGAGGAAGGGAGAGGAATAGAGAGATAGAAACATCAATGGGAAAGAACATTGATTAGCTCCCTCCTGCATAACCCCCACTGGGGATTTGGCCCACAACCTGGGCATGTGTCCTGATCGGGAATTGAATCGGTGACCTTTTGGTGCACGAGTCGATACTCAACCACTGAGCCACACTGGCGGGGCAAGATTTCTTTTTGGAGTCCCAACAGGAAATGGGGGCAGAAACCCTTCTACCTTTAACTTTCCCCTTGGTCTTTACCTAATAACCTCTCCTTTTGAAATGTAAGCCCAAGGCAAAGAAACCATGCCATGACTGTCTTTCTTCTTTTTTCTGTTTTTTCTTTTTTTTTGTCATTGCAAAGTTTACTTTTCTTTTCTTTCTTTTTTTTTAATTTTTTTATTTTTTTTGTTACAGATATTTTACCTTTTTACCCCATTGGCACCCCCCACCCCACCCCACCTCCACCCCATCCCCGGCTTAGTTGTCCATTTCCATTGGTCATGCATACATGCATATAAGTTCTGTGGTTTATCTCTTCCTACCCTCCCCCCACCCCCTCTTCTGAGGGATGTCAGTCTGTGCCCTACTTCCATGTTTCTGGGTCTACCGTATTCCTCAGACTGTTATGTTCATTATATTCCGTATATAAGTGAGATCATGTGGTATTTGTCTTTCTCTGATGGGCTTATTTCACCTAGGATAATACTCTCCAGGTCCCTCCATGTCGTCTCAAAGGATAAGAGATCTTTCTTTCTTACAGCTGCATAGTGTTCCATTGTATATATGTACCACAGTTGTTTTATCCACTCATATATTGATGGACAGTTGGGCTATTTCTAGATCTTAGCGACTGTAAATAGTGCTGCTATGAACATAGGGGTACATATATTATTTCTGATCGGTGTTTAGGCTTCTTAGCAAAGTTTTTTTAAATTTCCTCTCTGGTTGGTAGAAAATATTCCTAAGTAGTAATTTCTGAGAAATGAGTTCCTTTTTACGATTGTCTGAGACCATAATGGTGGAAAAGCTGCAGAAAACCTGATTTATAATATAAAATGAATTAAAATACATATTTTTGTTGTTGTTGTTAATCCTTACACGAGGATATTTTTGCATTGATTTTTAGATAAATTAGGAAGGAGGGAGGGAGAGAAATATTTATGTGAGAGAAACAAATCAATTAATTGCCTCCCAAACAACCTTGACCAGGTCCAGGGATCGAACCTGCAACCCAGGTAGGTGCCCTTGACTGGGAATTGACCCCACCACCCTTTGGTCTGCAGGCTGACACTCTAACTGCTGACCCAAACTGTCCAGAGCTAAGTACGTCTTAATGTATATACAAATAATCCCCATCATGCTTGTTCTTGAGCCATCTTGCCCAGCCTTTCACTCCTCAGAACTCAAGTAACTATTCCAATGTACCACAAATCTGAGAGTAAGGACTGAGGTGAGGAGTAACTGACAGACATTTGCCATTGAAAAAACACAGGAAAAGAATGAGTAGGAAGATGGCGGTGGGCAGGACTGGAGGGAGGGTGAGAGTGTGAGAAAGTGAGCAAGTGTGTGAGAGAGTGTGAGTGGACGTGAACGTGGGAGGTGGATGACCAAACTTGAGCAGTGCAGAGATGGGGAGCAGAAGGTTCCTGTGCTGTGGACGGAGCAGCC